CCGCCCGCCTCACTGTTATGGAGTCTCAAGTGCAGAACCGCAAAACCACCCCCCTGCAGGTCTGCAACGGGCTCGTGCTGGCGGCGGACGGCAAGAAGATGAGCAAGCGGCTCAAAAACTACCCGGTGGGGGTTATATGGGGGTTTCGCTTGAGGGGGGCGGCCCCTGTCCTGATTTGGAATCATGGGGAGGGTTTCCCAATTGGCTTGTTTTGTGTGTACAGGGGCGTATGGCGGCTTTTCGCTTGTTTGGGGGGTGGTGTGGTGCGGCCTGCTGCAAGGCTTGCTGCGATTTGCGGGTGAAATGCAAGGTTTTGATCCACAGGGTTCAAGGAATCCAAATTTTGTTTGAATGTGCTGCCTATATTGTACGAACGCTCTTGAGGAGCAGGGTGTGTGTGTGTGTGTGGGGGGGTGCTTGTGGGGGCAATCTGCCGTGGGGTTTTTTCCCATGCTTAATGCAAAAGCACATGGGGCCGCGCCGCATCTTCCCGGGTAGGGCACGGGCGCGCGCGGCCGCACCCCCCGCGCCTTTGCGGGCGCTGGGGGCTGCGCGCCGCGCGCGCCGCTCAGTGGCCCCGTTGCTGCCGCGGGGGTCCTCCCCGCGGCCCCCGGAGCGGTTCCAAAACGGCCCCGATGACATCACCGCCCCGGGATCATAGTACCGCGGTGCGGGCCCCACCCCCCCGCTGTCTCCAATACCCGCGACATTCTCGACCGATCTGATCTGGAGTGATCTGGGTGCTTTCAATTGTTTGGATTTCATGCTTTGACTGGGGGAGCGGCGCGCGAGGCTTGGCATGTTTTGATATGCCTGCAGGCTCAACAGGTTTCAAAACACACACGCCCCGCAGCCTTGACACTCGTGTGCCCGCGCACACGGGCGTCGCGCGACAGGCCGCTGCCGCCCGCATGGGTCCCCTGCCACCCCTGTTCGACTCCCCCCATTCGACTCGCCCCTTCAAGGCCGCGATGGCTGCCGCCGCAATTGTTACGGTGGCCGCCACCGCAACCGTCGCCGTAACCGCCACCGCAACCGCCACCTCAACAGCCGCCATAACCGCCACCGTAACCGCCACCGTAACCGTAACCGCCATCGTAACCGCCGCCGTAACCGCCACCGTAACCGCCACCATAACCGTAACCGCCATCGTAACCGCCGCCGTAACCGCCGCCGTAACCGCCAGGACCCGACGGAGGTGATTGACAAGCACGGGGCCGACGCGCTGCGGCTCTACCTCATCAACAGGTGTGCGATCTGGCCTGATCTGGCCTGATCTGACCTGCCCTGCCCTGATCTCGTAAATGCAGTCTCATCAACCAGCTCATTATCATTCCCATCATGGCCCGCGTGATAAAAGAGCGACCCCTCTCGTCGACGCGCCGTGGGTCGAGCAGCCAAGCACACGCCGCCCCCGGACTCAATCATCGTGCATCGTTGATCACCCCGCAAAAAACCAACGGACTCTTCTCGCCGGGTTCTTTTTCCATTTCAACCCCCCCCCCTTCCAGCCCCGTGGTGCGCGCGGAGACGCTGCGCTTCAAGGAGGAGGGCGTGTTTGGCGTAGTCAAGGACGTATTCCTGCCGTGGTACAACGCCTACAGGTGCGATGACGTCACGGTGACATATGGCGGTATGGGAGAAGGGGGAGCCGCCGTGGCGCGGCGCGGCGCCGTGTCTGGGAAGGGCCGGGCTGCGTCGAGGGAGGCTGTCGACCGTCGGGACTGTCACCAGGGCTGCCGCGCCGTCGCCCCCCTCCCCGCTCCCTCAACCTCGCCTTCCGGTCAGCCCTCCGTGACAACGCCCCCGTCGGTCCCCAGTGCAAACACAAAATTCCGACTGTTTCGGTCGTTCACCCTCGTCGGTGCCCTTCCAAATCAATCCACAAGCAACCAAATCCAAAAAACCTCGACCTCAAACTCGGCGCAGGTTTTTGGTTCAGAACATCATCCGCAGCGAGCAGGAGACCGGGGTGGCCTTTGACCCTCTGGCCGCTGACCTGGACAAGGCTGACAACGTGCTGGACAAGTGAGACGGGGGTTCGATCCTCCTTTCTGCCTTGACAGGATGTTCTTCACCATGTTGGTTTGATTTGGATTGATGTTTTTCGAAACGCAGGCACGGCTGCCCTCAAAGCAGCCGTGACAGTTGGTGCCAGCCGCGGCCCACTGAGCTGTCTCGGCCGATTTCGTATCTTTTGTATTTGGGGGTGGGGCGGTTGCACAAGCGTGCCGGAGCGGCAAGCAGCAGCCTCCCGTTCGCACCGTTGCCTGGCCCAAGCGCCTGAACTGCAGCTGTCGGTTCACAATGCGGCCGCCGCCGGCGCCCTCCCCCTTGCGCCTCGAATCTGTCCTCCCCGGCAAGGCCGCCCTGAACCCCACTCAACACCCCCCATGTACGTCTCGAACCCTTCGTGAAACCCCCCAAAGGTGGATCGCGGCCGCCAGCCGCAGCTTGGTCGCGTTTGTGCGGCAGGAGATGGGCGCGTACCGCCTCTACACGGTGGTGCCCTACCTCGTGCAGGTGAGAAGTTTTAACCGTGAACTTCATGCCGTGAACTTTGTGCCATTTTTTGCACCTCGCCGCACGCTTGCTCGAGGGTCATGCTTCGTTGTTCACGAAGGTAAAATTGTTCTATTCTATTCTTTGCCAACGTTAGCCAACGAGCATACCTATCTTTGCCAGCGCGATGCTGCGCCCCCTGCTGCAAGGCTTTGCGTCTCGTCTCTGCGTCGCCACCCCGTGCCCCGCGTCACCCGCGCCCCCCCGTCACCCGCCTCGCAGTTCCTGGAGGGGCTGACTAACGTGTACGTGCGGTACAACCGCAAGCGCCTCAAGGTGCGCCATGGGGGGGGGGACGGTTACGTGGATGGAGGGGAGATGGTGTGCCTGATGTGGGGGGGCCGGGGATTCGTCCCAGTGTGAGCGTTTGGGAAATCGTCACCACAGAAGTGGGGGGTGTCCAGTGAACTTTGGCCCGGAGAAGCCCCTTGTATGGTGAGGAAGGGGGGAAGGCGCCCGCACCACAAGCCCCTATGCGCACCTCTTGCTCCGCTC